GTTATTAACAATAACACTACCATCATGTCATCAGTACTATTACCACCATCTTGCAACTACAACTCTTTGCACCTTACCTACCTATTTATCTTTTTTATCTTTTCTAAGTATTTTATTCTATTGTTGTATTTTATACTCAGCTGTATGTTCCTGTAAAGGCTGACGATCATTCCCGAATTATTAAATTAGAGGCCTGTTGCCAGGATGCCATGTCATGTCCTGCTACTGCATTCTAGTAAAACTGAGATATTGGTCTCTTTCTGCTTCTTGGTCAGTTGCACTCTGCTTCAGAAAATAAAACACATGACTTTAACCCAGGAGATTGCTGTTAAGTGTCCCATGTGAAACCAAAAGTCATTAAACTCATTAACTCATTCTCATGAAACAGGAGAGGTGTTTACTTCCTCATGTTTCCTGTATAAACAGGCAGTTAGGGAGGGACCTGTCGCAGTAGCCAATAGCGCTGTGTATTATGTCCCACTGCCACTGCACAAGTCAAACAGCAGCTAACATTACCGTTAGCTACTTTTTGCAAAAGGTCCAACAAACTTTGATCTAAAAACACAAAGATTTTTTGTAAATTTCTTTGTAATAAATTGTTAAATAGGGTTACAATATGAGTGGGGTTGTGATCTTAAAGGGTTTTTTGCTTGTAACTTTACAATCTTTCCCTAAACCTAATCAAACTGCGACCACTTCACAACGTTAACCATGCAACCTTTATTTTGAAAGTCTAACCATATGTTATTTGCATATTTATTTATTATTATCGTGGAGGCCTGCGTGTCCAGAAATGGGAAGAGGGAAACGTACAGTGTCATATTTTAAAGCGGACAGCCACTGACCAAGCGGCCGTATTTGACTCTAGATCAGCACATTAGAACATCAGATCAATAAGTTTGCCTTTTTCCACCGACGTATCAACAGCTAAAATTACAGATCTTAATTCACACCTTTATTCCTTCCAGACTTCATTACTGTGACGTCTTGTTGTCTGCTCTAAGAAAAAGCTGTCTGTTAAGCTCCTCCCACCTTTAACCATGTGACCCGGGGCTGTGGGCGTCCCGTTGCTTTGGCGGAGAACTTCCCGGTCTGACCCAGCTTGGTGAACACTCGGCTCGGTTTGGTGACGAACTTCGGCGGACTCTCGCCCCAAATGCTGGGCCTGTTCTCCATCGCCGGGACCGCAGAGCGACACCTGAAGACATTCAGAGTCTGACTGCGCTCTCTAATGGAGCTAATGGTCCAAATAAAATATAGGAACATTGCAGATAGTAATGTTATTCTAAATATGATTGTCAGT